AATACATAGATACATATATAAATTATACATATATACATATATACATATATATATAATAAATACATAGATACATATATAAAATTATACATATATACATATATACATATATATATACATATACATACAAAGACATACATATACGTACATATACATACATATACATACATATACACACATATACATACATATACATACATATACATACATATACATACATGTACATACATGTACATACATGTGCTTACATGTGCATATATGTGCATACATATACATACATATACATACATATACCTACAAATACATACATATACATACATACATATACATATATATACATATATAGACATACATATATATGTTGTTAAGATGCAAGTCATTTAAGGTGACATATATTTAGATAGATACTGAATCTGTATGGCTACGTTATTCAGTTTCAATTCGTTTAGGTTCTAGATACACACTGACGTATATACAACTTCGGTTTAATAATTTCATTCACAGGTCAACCTTGCTTGTTCTGAATCACCGTTGTACTTTCGCAGCCAACACTTTGAAACGAGAAGTTGAAGAAGACCGTTCCTATTGTCAGACGGACAATATATCTCAAATACATCACGTGGTACTAATATCGGGTCTTTGAGTAAACATCCGAAGGTATTTATGCTTTTAAGCTCTTAAATAGTTATGAGGTTGCGCTTATGCGCTAATTGCCATAGCCTTCTTAAAATTCAACAAGAAGGCTATATAATTGTTCAATATTCGGTCATGTGCTTTGTGCTATTTTATATTTCCTTTTCGATCAGTTTGTGATTAATGTCAAACTGTCAACTGTCAACTGTCAACTGACAACTGTCAACTGTCAACTTCATAGCCTTCTGAAAAAAGAGCATTCACAGAAGGGCAAGGCTATGATTTTTGTGTTTTTTTTTAAACACAAACATATTGATTCTACACACTATAGGCTTGAGACTTGAGCCTTTTGCCTATCACGAAGGCTATGTATTAAAATATAAAATACAGTTAAATCTATTTTTACACACCATTTGATTTTGTATTTGCTTTCTATTTTTTTGATTATTTATTTATGACCATCGGAAATGAAAAGTAAAAATATGAAAATCAAAATTCAGAAAACATGAATAAATATTTACTCTTTTACTTTTTTCTTTTTTTTTAATGCTCTACTTTTAGCAAGTGGAGCTGCCCACTCTCTCACGGTGGGTGGGCCGATAGCCAAGGGACCGACTCCGAGGCACGAAAGGGATTTTCTTGTTTGTTATGCTCTTTTATATTTTTTAGAACTAAAAAAAGCAACAATAAAAACCCACCCTTTCGGATTTTATCAAAAAGGGAAAAGGATTTCTATTTTCAGGAAGGTATGGTTCTATTGCTCTGAAATATAGTCGTAACTGTAAAAAAAACTTCAGTCTGTAACTCTGTATTTTTATTAGTAAAAAAAAGTACCATTATGATCGGATTTCTAAAAAAAAACCAAACACTTAAAAGTATTAAAAATAACGACAGTGTTTCTTATTCAGCCTCTTAAAATAGATCTTTTTTTTTAAAATAGACCGAGACTCTTCAGTCCGCCGACTCCTACAATCTATACATTTATAAATACAATACAATTTAAAACAAATGCCTTATTTTACGATAAATTTTTATTTCTATTTTTCTTTTTGTCATTTGTTCTAAAAATGTATATAAATGATTTCTTTTATAGAATACCATATGTCAGTTATCCAATCAGTTCTTGTTTTGGACTTGAATTATTTGCTGATTTCACATGACGTGATACTTCCTGACACCTGCTGGCAACCCCTGATAGTATCTCGGCATGCGGGTTGAATATATCATTTGGCACACGACCCTTTTGGGGGAGTGCTAAATAAGCTCTTGTGGTTTGTAAAATATTTTCATTTACGAACAGCCTGTGACTGTCCCAAGTGAATAAGGTTTTCATTGTTGTCCTAACTTCTATCCTCAGTAGGTTTTACGGGTTTCTTATTGCTTTTACTACTCTGTGGATAAACTTTAGTACTGTTTCACTTATTCAAGGTGCTTTTTTCTGGTCAAGGCTATACTAAATACTAATTCATTCTCTTATCACTGAAGGCGTGAATTTGAAGTTGGAAGTCCCTCCAAACTTTATTGACGACTTTTTGGTCTGTCCGTCACAAATTCCCCTATATATAGGCCCTTGTCTAAGCAAAATCATGTTCTGTAGAAATACGCCTACAAAAAGGCCCATGGAAGAGTTGTAACCCAACCAATGAAAAATTCAAGTATAGAGTTTTAACGCGTTGAAAGGAAAGTTAACGGGCTGTAAGGCCCGATTTTCTAAAATTTAGGACATATTTTTATGTGCAGTTTGAAATTTTGACATCTGATTTGTCTCGATTTCAAGCTATAACTTCCATCAAACCCTCTATTTGGTGTCCACAACTCCACATAGTCCACAGTCCACACTCTATAGTCCTAAGTCCACAGCTGTTTCTTGACGCATGCTGAGTCCCTGTTATGTGAGACTTAGTGAGAGAGAAAGAGAGGGTCTGTGATGAGACTGAGTATCAGAGTGTCAGTCTCCTACAGCTGACAAGACAATCTGCCAGGGCCCCATAAATCCATAAATAGTCGTACATATGAGTTCCGAACTTCCGGTTAATGTGATCCCCAGACTCAGTCAGAGTCCCCAGACTTCAAGTCTTCCACACACTCTCGATTATAGGTTCATGGGTAGGTGAGTCGTGAGTCGTGACTCTTGACTCTTGTCCTGAGTCCCGAGTCCTGACTCGTGACTAAATCACTAAATAAAAATGTATTTAAATAAAAATAACACTTCAAACTTTCGAAGCCTCAAACCAATCCATGGATCACTTAAAAAAATTTAAGAGTTGTTTCATGAAAGGCGTGGTGAGTGGTCGAAATGTCGAAAACGGAAAACGACGGAAAATATTATTTGGTTGGCAAAATAAAAAATCAAGAAAGATAGTCTCTCGACCAGTGGAATCCGGAGTCTGTAGTATTGAGTAGAGAGTTTAGAGTATGGAGTTTTGAGTCAAGACGAGACAGATAGGGATGAAAAAGTAAGTAAAAACACCGCCTAAAAATTGGACAAGAAGAGCCCGAGGATGTACATATGCCGTTTATTAAAACTTTGTTTGTCTTTTTTAGTCTTTTCCAAACAAAACATAGCATCGGGAATTCCGTAAAAGACCCTCGATTTCAGACGACAGTGACAGACTTTTAGAATTCAGAGCTCAAGACTTCAAGTGTCCCAGTCCCAGGCCCAACCCCCCAACGGCGTTTTTGGTGTTTTAAAAAAATACATATAAATAGTTGGTTTGTGCAAGGTGTGGTTCACAATTTTGCTATCAAACAATTTGTTTGGCATAAATAATCGATCTCACATTTAGTTAGTATCGAACAACAAAACTTTAAGAACATGTTGAGCTCGGTGGATGATCAGGTCAGTGCCTTCATGCAGAAGGTGCGCGCCAAAGACGGACACGAGAAAGAGTTCCTACAGGCGGTCCACGAAGTCGTTGAGGCGGTTATTCCCTTTATCGCTGAGAATGACAAGTACAACAACCTCATGATACTAGAACGCATGGTGGAGCCTGAGCGTGTGATTATGTTCCGTGTACCCTGGATGGACGACAAGGGACGCATCCAGGTGAATCGTGGCTTCCGAGTGCAGTTCAACTCAGCTATTGGACCGTACAAGGGAGGTCTGCGGTTCCACCCAACTGTAAATCTGTCCATTTTAAAGTTCTTAGGCTTTGAGCAGACGTTCAAGAACTCTCTGACTACGCTTCCGATGGGCGGGGCCAAAGGTGGGGCTGATTTCGACCCAAAGGGAAAGTCCGATAACGAGGTGATGAAATTTTGTCAATCGTTCATGACTGAATTGCAGAGACATGTGGGTGCTAACACCGATGTGCCCGCCGGCGACATTGGTGTCGGAGGTAGAGAGATTGGATACCTTTTTGGACAGTACAAGCGACTGAGTAACGAGTTCGTGGGTGTTTTGACCGGGAAAGCCATGAGTTGGGGTGGTTCGCTGATAAGACCGGAGGCGACTGGATATGGGGTGGTTTACTTCACGAAGCAGATGTTGGAAGAAAAGGATGGGTCGCAGTTGAAGGGAAAGATTGTGGGTATCTCTGGAAGTGGTAATGTAGCACAGTATGCGTGCGAGAAGGCTATCGAGTTGGGTGCGAAAATTATTACAATGTCGGATTCCCAGGGGTATGTGGTCGACCCTAGCGGTATCGATACCGATAAACTGGAGTATGTCATGGACCTCAAGAACAAGAGAAGGGGAAGGATCTCAGAGTATGCAGAGAAATACTCAGAAGCTACGTATCACGAAGGACAACGCCCCTGGGGTGAGACTATGGATATTGCATTTCCATGTGCCACCCAGAATGAGATCGACGAGGAAGAAGCAGAGGCTCTTGTGGCTAACGGGTGCATATGTGTTGCCGAGGGCGCCAATATGCCCAGTACACTCGAGGCTATACATGTGTTTCAGAAGGCAAAGATACTGTTTGCCCCCGGGAAAGCAAGTAACGCTGGTGGCGTAGCTACGTCAGGCCTGGAAATGTCGCAAAACTCTCAGAGGTACGCCTGGAGTAGAGAGGAGGTTGATGATAAGCTCAAGGATATAATGGCGGCGATACATGACGAGTGTGTGGCGTTCGGTAAAGATGGGGACCATGTGGACTACGTGAAAGGTGCGAATATCGCTGGCTTTGTCAAGGTGGCCGATGCGATGATGGATCAGGGTGTTGTTTAAACTTAGTTTGATTAAATAGATTAGGTCAGTGTGTCTCAGAGTTTGGGACTTTAGGTTAGTTTAGACTTCAAATTCTGTTCATTACTGGCACACGTCGGAAGTAAAGGAATATTACATAGTTTGAAAGTCCTCTCATGTGCTAGACTCTGCAACGAGCGCAGTCTGTGAGAAACATCTGAATCCACCACTGGCCCGGGGACTGAGGTGCATTTTTATTAGACCAAAAACCATACGATAAATGCAGCGACATTTTCTATGACATCATAGCGGTAAATGGAAATTAAATTAAAAGTCGGCGATAAAAATGCAGTGCAATTCTATGACATCATTGACCTCACCGGGGGGGGGGGGGGGTTTTGAAATACATACAAGATTTCTTTTAGAGATACCCATTTGGGATTTTAGTGGGCCATAAATAGGCTCATAGCTTTCATTTATTTATTTTTGGAACAATAAAACCCAAAAATGTATCTTCTTTGTTCATAAAAAGACAACAATGTCATACCTATTTTTTTTTGTTTTCTATTTTTTTCAAAACAAAGCAAAACAAAAAGAACATCAAAAAAAAGCTTCTTTTTCCATCCTCAATCTTATTTAGCCTTTTCTTCTAAAATAAATATTTTGTTGTTTTTTTTTGAACAAATACTAAAAATACAGGACATTTACATCATTTTTTGTCTTTCTCATTTTGGTACAAGTATTTTTCTTTTGAAACAAATTTGAAGCTTTTATTATTATTGATCGTCTCGATAATGTAAATACATACATTAAAAATAGTGTCATATTATCATCATCACTTGCATAAGTTTTGTAAAATACACATAAAAGCATAGCCTTCTTCTAAAATAGAAAGATATGCATTTAGAAGTAGAGGCTAATCTTACTTATTCGGGAAACATAGTGCAATAACAGTTTGCGATCACAGTTTGAAATAGCGAATGTAGCACCCCAGTATTCCAAATTGTCCCAACTCCCAAGGCCAAAACACTGCATCTGACTGCGAAATCGCGTTCAAAATCGAGTCAAGCTGAACTGACGAAGAATCTTTAAAAATACAAACATAACTTAAGATGGGTCTACTCTCGGACCCAGCTCGGAACAAAAATATTGTCGGCCTGATGGTTCGCTGTCACAAGTACCTGGGGTATGTTGTTCTGTCAAATCGCCCACAACATGCCAGTATTTATGCCACCCGGAACGAAATAACGCATTGTTATGTATATATATTATATATTATAATCTATATATATATGTGTGTG